CCGCATGTGCTCCGCCGCGTCATCGGCTGGCTGCCGTTGTGCGCGTTCAAGGCTGCCTGGCTGGTGTTGGCAACAGTTGCAAACGCCTCGCAGCGCTCAAGGACTCCAGGTTCCAAAAAGCAACGCCGGGAGACGTGGTCCCGGCTCGGGAGGCCTGCTTGTTAGTCTGTGCTGCGACCTGGCTTTCTGCTTTTGTCGTGTTGAAGGTGTTTTTGAAGCCCGGCTACAGCTTCGTCAAGGCGGCGGCCTGCGACAGCTGCTGCCTTCTGGTCTACAGCGGCACTGGCGGACTGGCTTCCTGACTTCCGTCACGTGCCATTGCAAGGCCAACATTTCCGACGTTGTGCCAGGAGGATCTGGAGATGGCACACGGCGAATGGGGTGGACGGGAGTTCACGCACCCGTGGAGGGCATCCTACGGACGCTGGGGCGGGCGGCGAAGGACCTCCACTTTACCGTCAACGACGCCGCCGACGAGCTCGTGAACTTGGTGGTGCTAAGGGCTGCCGGCGCGGGGTGGGGTTTGGATGCAGAAAGCGTTCCCGATACCGTACAGCCCTGCTCTGGTCAAGGCGACGGACCCCAGGGTTGGTCCGTCGTGCCGTTTTGGTCTGCGCGTCGACGTCGGGAGTCGAGCTTGTCGTGTAACGCGTTTACATATGTGTGAAGGGACACGCACGGCGCATTGGACGCACATGCCGTAGCTGTCTGCTGGCTTTGCGTCGCCCGACGTCTTTGTGCCCACTCCGGCCCAATTGTAGTATTTCTCTTAAGACCGAAGGGCTGGCGATGGGCCGGGATGCAGAAAGCGTTCCCGGCGCTGTACAGCCCTGCTCTGGCGAAGACGACGGACCCGGTGTGATGCGCTTCTTGACCACTCAAAAAGAGGGTTGGTCCGTCGTACCGTTTTGGCCTGCGGGAGTCGAGCTCGTCATGGTTTCGCAAGCGAAGAGGCAGAGAGAGCTCGGTCTTCGGGGTGAAGCGTTGGCTACAGTCTGTGTCCTGACGTGGCAAGAGAAGCTGAGAGTACATTGGCATCGAAAGTTCGCATGCAAAGACCATCTCCGGGCTCTGAGAAGTTGCATGGTGTGAGCTCAGCTAAGCAGCCAAGCCAAACACGCACCTGACATCGTCATGCAGCGATGGGTGTAACATGATGTAGCACAGGAGCAGGGCTGATAAATGTGATTTTGCTTGGAACAACTTGCTCAGCTCCGAGCTTGCGGCTTGACCATCGTGGCCTCATGAGGTGCTCCTGCATGTGCTGACCTGTTTAGCAAAGCAAAGCAAAGTAAGGTGTTGAACGGCACTTTGCAAAAGGCTTCAATTCCGAAGTGCCGTGGATGAACGAGGGCACCTTCGCAGTGAAGTGAAGGCTGGAATGAGGACTTGATTGACTTCATCACTTGGGGAAGTTCTTGCGGCGTACGACAGGCCTTGCAGTCGGAACGGGATGCGTTGGCAGCACAGGCCGAGCATCTTCTTGCAAAACAGCACTCGGAGCATCGACCCCTCGGCAGCCACGCGTGCTTTTCCCTGCTCATGGCCAGCTCGCCAGCTCGGGCTACGGGTTGCTTTCAGGTGGAGCGTCTCGAGCTCGAACGTGTGCAATTCGGTTCGGCAGCTCGGCCAGAATGCTTCGCTTTGGAGCGACGGATGCGAGGGCACAATCGAAGTGTGTTCTTGCTCAGCAGCGCCTTAGGCACAAGACCTGGACAAGCAGGAACGACGAGTTGGGGTGCTGTTACCTTTCATTGTGACATGTTGGATCCTCTTCTAGGCATCTCTGCAAGCTGCACCAGAAATCGGAGGAGTTGGAATCGACGGTGCAGTCTTTGGTCCGAGAGATCAAGGCCTTGGACCCGGCTTTGTTTACCTGGAATTGCTTTCCGTGTGCCGCTGGACAAAGCCAAGGCTTGCCAGGCGGAAGCATCGACAGCGAAGGATGAGGTGCCATGTGCCCTAGACAACCCATAGCTCGGGATGCTGTGTCTCTACAAGTCTCAGGAGCACCTTCCTTCAGAGCGTTTAGAGAACACGATCCGTGCTTGGATAAACTTGGATCGACCATGCGATCTTCTTCCGAGAGCTACCAGGTTCTTGAAACTGGTAAGGCCTGGTAGAGGAGCTCTTGCAGCGGGATGGACAGTTGAAATCGTGTGGTGTTTTGGTTGTAGCAGCTCACTCACGCAGACTCACGCGCATGAAGCTTTGCTAGTTTGCAGTTCTTGAAGGGTCTGGCCTTCGAGGTGCAGCGTTTGAGCAATGCACTAGATGCGGCCCAAGCCTTGTGTGAGCATGCTGAGGACAGGGTCTCAGACACGTTTGCATCCTTGGCATGTTGGGTCGATACTCTTCTGTTGTTTCTTGGAGGCCCGAGCCGCAGCGGCAGAGGTACTGAAGACAGAGGCATGCTTGCGTCGTGTGTTCGATCCACCGTTTTCCCCCATCTTCTATAATTTCGTTTAGTGCGGATGTGAACCTGACAGGCAGTGTGTGCGGTCTGAAGAGGAAGGAGAGGAGTAGCCGGCCGCCAGGCATCTGCTCAGCAGCGCTTGGCCGAGGGCAACGTGCGCTTCACTGCATGGCCAACATCATTTGGTTTGGACAGCCGTTGTCGTTGTTGGAGGTACTGCGCCTCACCACAGAAATCGAGGCAGGTGGCATGCTTATGTGTGGTAGTTGTCTATGCATCAGACTGGCGCAGGCACTGAAAGCCAGCAGCAGCTTGGTGTTGCGCAGGGCCGAGAGATGCGATGCAGCGGAGGCGGAGGCAGCACGCCTCCAGGGCGACGTCTGTCGCCTGCGTCAAGAGGAGCAACGACTCCGGCTGTTGGAAGAGCGCTTGAGCCAAGCGCAAGCTGGGGTTCACGACAAGGAAGCGCTTGAGAGGCGTCTGGACCAGGCCCTCCGGAGGGCGGACACGGCTGAGAAACAGGCGAAATCCTCTGAAGACAATGCAAAGTCCTTGGAGTTAAAGCTGCTCGCAGCCACTACAGAGTTGGAAGAGTCAAATCTTGCTGTGCAAAAGGGGCACGAGAGGGAACGATCCCAAGAGGCAGAGCTTAGGAACGTCGAGATGGCGCGGGCCGAAATGGGGAGGAAGCTGGCAGAAACTCTGCAAGAACTTGCAGACCTTGAGGCCAACAGTGCATCCTTCCGTCGGAAGGTTGATGCGGACCTTTCGGAAGCTAAGCTGCAGCTTTCTGAGAGCTGTGCTCGGTGTGATCGAGGCGTTGCCGAGCTCGAGGCTGAGCGAGGGAAGAGCCAGGAAGCAGTGAAGAAGCTCTCCTCCTTGGAGGAGCAGCTCGCGACCCGAGACGCGGAAGTCTGCGGCTTGCAGGAGCAGAGCGCCGGCTTGCGCCGGGACCTGCTGAAGGCGAGCGCGGCGCGGGAGGCTGCAGAGCAGCAGATGGCTCCGCTGGCCGAGGAAGCCGCCAGGGCCTGCAGGCTCAGGGAGGAGTCTGCTACGGCTGCCGCGGCGGCCCAGCAGGAGGCGACCTCCTGCCGCTTGGAAGCGGAAGCCACCCGCATGGCGCACTACGAGCAGGAGCCCTTCTGTTGGTAGTTTGGAAGCAGTGACCGAGCTCAGTACAATGTAACTGGGTTGCCTCGGCCCTTGGGATTGCTAAGTACGCAAGCAGGGAGCCGAATAAAATTCGCACAGTCGAAGAGGTGCTTTTCGACGTTTCGACAGTTCGCGTTGTTCTGCCCTTTTTGCACTGTTCTGCGGTTTTGTTTTTTTCAACTTTTCGTTTGCGCTTGACCACTTTTCGTACTTTTCGGGTTCTTCGGGGAAAATTCGCATTTGGGCGTATTGTTCGAGTCTGGGAAGCACCAACTGGCAAATCTTGCTGAGTTTGAAACCATGTCGGGTTTCATCCAGCCAACACGTGTCAAAAACATAGATGGTTTCGGCTGGGCCGAGTCTTTCTTTTTGGGTGATGTTTGACCAGACTTGTTGAATATTCGCCTTCTGCTGTGCTTGTGGGTTTTTCATGTCTTCGATCTTTTTCCGATATTCGGACTTATTGACTTGTCGACTTTCACCGTACTTTTCGATCTTTTAACTTTTGGACTTCGCGGGACTTTTCGTTTCTGTGTTGCACTGTTTGACTTTTCACTGCTTTTCGAGACTTTTAAACTTTTCGGGTTTTCTGGTTTTTCGCATAACATGCCTTTGTGAAGTATCGTGAGGTTCTGGAAGTTCCGCGATGGCATTGTGCACTGTCTTGACCGGTGCTATTCTGCAACTCTTTCTGTAGACGATGGTGTCGGATCCTTGCAACTGGCTGCTAGTCTTTGCATGGCGACCGGTCTGGTCTGCACACCAGCTCTTGTGCAAGATTGGCACAGTCATCTCTACACGTGTGAAGAAGGTATAAGTATCGACGCTCAGACAGAGGGAAAGGCGACACGATTGGGACTTCCTTGTGAACTTGCGAATTGTCAATTCTCTGGCAGGACCGTGAAGTGCACAGGCTAAGAGAACGCCTGGCCGTGCAAAGTGAGGAGTTGGAAAGGCTGCAGACACTGCTCGCCTGGTGCTCTGTGTTGCTGAGCTTGTACAATCCGAATGCAGCTTAGCGATGAGTGCGCGATATCGCAGAAACTCAAGACTTGAGGCCATGGGCGGTGGTCCCGCGCTCGGGGGTTCGCACCGGCAGGAGCCATCAGATGTGTCCAAGTGTGACTAAGGTCCAGACGATGTGGCTGCAATGTCCGCCGCGCAGTATCTCAGCGGTCCCAGTCCACGCTCCCACATTCGAGATGAGCTGGCCTTCGTGCGCAAAGAGGCCTAGCTAATCTTGCACAACTTGTTTCCTGCACTTGTTGTACTCGTTTTGGTTTTTGCCAGACTCGGAGTGGCTGCCCAGCCTTGCCTCCCGCCGTCGTGGGGCGGCCCAGCAGCAAAAAAGCCGGTCACCGTGTATTGCTGTCCACTCTGAGACCCGACGCCTAGCTTCTCCGCGACTTCGCGATGCTCCGCTGGCCTTGCAGGCCACTTTATCCCACTTTGCCGACTTAGCTCCATGTACAATCAATGTACAAGAATCTCCCTCTTGGACAGGGGCGGTCAAACTCCAGGTCACGCAGGCAAGGCGCAGCTCTCCACCTCCGATGTCCATTGGCCTCTTGGTATCTTTTGGTGTTGGAGAGGCCGTCCAGCTTCGCCAGCACTGCCGCACCAGATGATGAGCTATGAGCAGTGCACGAGGGTTTTTTGGCCGGAGAACAACTTTGGCTTGATTTCGTTCCATCGAACTTCCTGACCTGGAAAGCAATGATATTTGACACCTTGCTTCGATGCAGCATCCTGACTGCTTGATCCAGAACCGAGGAATCAGTGTCATGTGACTGGTGTCAACTCATCGACTTAGTGCAAATCGTTGTCTGCAGCAAGTTCTGACGGCAGCAAGGGTATCGGAAAGTGAACCCGTCCAGGAATTTTGGGCATCACGATTGTTGAAGCTAATCGTTGACAGGAGGAACGTTACAATTTCATGCCTTTTTCAACGATTCAGTCGGAGAAGTTTGATCTTGGACACATAACAAGTGTGTCCTGTGTTCATCTCCTGCATGAGCAGTGTCCAAGAGGACACTACAGAGTGTGACAAGAGCTTGCAGCACCTCAGGGACTGCTGGGCTGTAGCAAGGGGCTTGATGCTGCAGAAGCATTTACAGTTGCAAGGCAGTGCAAGGACGAGCTTGTGGTTCTGAGCAGCATGCGAGCATGATCCCTAGAAGCTGCTGGACATGTCCCGCCCGCAGGAGTCCCTGCACACGAACTCGCTAGACGCTTCAGGCTTTTCCACATCGCAACAGACGAAACAGACGAACCATGTCCTTTGCTTACGCCGACATGGATCCATCGATGCCCTCGCCATGGTCTGCCTGCTCTGTTTTGCTTAACAGAGTCTGCAGCATTCGCGGGGTTGCCTTTGAGAAGCCAGGTCCTTGCCAAAGGTGCCGAGGACCTTGTCCACTCCTGGGTGCCCAGACCGGCGGCTCTATCTTCACATGCTGCAAAGGGTTGCTTCCGCGAGGTATCCGGGCTACCCTGGGCTTTCACAGGTCGATGCCTCGGTAAATTTCCGGGGCCAAGTCCATATGTCACACTCTCGTCCCTTAGATGACGATGGGCTTCCCAGCCCCTGCTCTTCCAGGACTGTAGCATGCGTGTTCTGACCTTGATGCACTCATTCGTCTTGTGATTTCTCGAGAAGTCTCTGATGTCAGAGGAGATGCGTCTCCTTTCCACCCGCCGGTGCTGCTGGGCAGGCGGTGCATCTGTAGGGGCCTTGAGTTTCCGCATTGAGCTCCCTGCATGCAGGTCGCTGTCACACGCAATGACGGCCTCGCCCATGATACCGCAGATCCCTCATGCCCCTTCATCCCCATCGGGGCTCGTCCACTCAACATCGCATCTGCTGAATTTCCAGAGCCTGATGCCATCGGCATCCCACTCCCAGACCTCCATGTTCCAACCTGTCCTGGCCTGAGTGCTCGCAAGCTTCCTTATCCAGGCCGCACATCGCCTGCCTGCCCAGGCAAATTTCCAATTCACCTTCAACGCCGAACCCTCCACGAGCGAAGCCAGGCTCGAAAGACGCCGGCATGCTCGTCCCATTCAAGGACCGAAGTGCTGACAGGCAGCCGGCAGAGCCCGTGGCTGCACCTCAGGCAGACATCAGGGCTTGGAGATTTCGGCGCTTCAATGCAGCCGTGGCAGTGGCAGGCCGACCTTGCACTGGGCGGGACATCCGCGAGCTCGGCATCCGCAGCCCCGTGCGATTCGCATGCGCAAGCAGCACCTTCGCAGTCATCTGTGCTTGACTCGGAGGCTTCCATGGTCAAAAAGGTCGAGACGTGATCTGTTCCAAGGTGCATCGTAGAGAGGCCCAGCGGCCGGCCGTGGGGGTGTGCCAGGAGACCGGCCACTGACAGCTCGATGCATCGCGATTTCGTTTCCCGTCGCAGGAGCCGATGAACTGCGATGCGCAGCTCAAGCAGTGCATCGCTGAATGCAGGAGAGTGCTCGAGGCTAGGCGAAAGGAAGCGGGTTTTTGGGGGCTCCTCAGGGCCTCGGCCTCGGAAAGCCTCACGCGAAGGCCAAGGCAGCTCAGTGCCGCAGCGCCGGCAAAAAGCCTGGAACCCAGTGCAGTTTGAGTTGTGAAATCATGTGGTATCGTGGGACAGTGCAAAGCGGGAACGATTTCTGTTCAGCCCAGGTACTTTGATCCGGACTTTCCTTCCGACTCAAGATCTCTGTGGTTGAACGGTCTCGCATCCCAGTTCCAAGAGTGACCAATCCTGCAATTGTCTGGGTTTCTCTTGCCGATATCGCAATCAGACAATCACTTCTTTTGCCGCAAGTCTTTTCGTTTGGCTCGTAGTAATGGTGCATGGAAAGCTCACGGTGCTCTCCATTTGGCCTTAAACTGCCGGCATCCTATCTGCATGCAGAGCCCCAAGCCCACATGCAAAGCCAGCAGCACCCCTTGCAGCTGCAAAAGCCGATGCCTTTGACCCGACCTTGCCAGACAGCAGCTTCAACAACTTGCAGCCCACCAAGTCTTCACGTCCAAGTATAGACGGCTTCAACCCGGGTTGCTTCCCGCCTCTCCGAAGGCTGGTTGGACCAGAGTCGCTTGGTGCCGCTGCTTTTGATATTTTGAGACATGTTCGCAAAACTCAGGCGATGACAGAAGGTAGGAAACTCTTCGTGGCGAAGCTGCCGACGGACGCGGATGCAAGCGCTTCTCTGCCAATCGCCATGCTGCCACGTCAGAACAGTGTGAACGACTTTGTAGTCCATGGCTCCAGGACATCCGCGAAGATGAGATGGAACAGGCTTCGCGACACTGCGCACCTTCGATAGTCTGAGCCTAGCGTGTCCATGCTCTACAGGTCTTCAGCACCTACGGGCCTGTCGAGGAGGCGGCACTGAGACAGGCTTTATGCGACAGGACTCACCCGACTCACTCAGGCAATCTTGATGGACCAGAATCGCTCGAACAGACCTGACGAGGTAGCTGGAGCAATAAGAAGAGCGGGAGAGGGAGAGAGAGAGACACGGAAGGAGCAGTGTTCTGTTCTCGCTGCTCCCTGTGCAGCGCTGCGGCTTCGTCATCTACAAGTCGGCGGATGCTGCGCAGACGGCGATCCAGGCAAGGTGACACATGTGACACAGAATGAGCTCGCCCGTCTCAGGGTTCTTATTACTTGACGGTTTTTTGAGGTTTGTGAGTCTCGCTTCGTGACACTTGACTTGTGGTGTTACGGGAGGTCTTGAACAACGTCTACCGCTTCCGAGAGGACGTGTTGCGCTGGGGATGTCAGCGACACCGCCGAACCGCATGCCCCAGAAACTCCAGGAGGCCCCTGATGCCATCCACGTCAGCATGGCACGGTCGCGTGCCAAAGGGGATGGCAAAGGCAAAGACGGCAAAGACGGCAAGGGCAAGGATTGCTCTGGTCCCTTGCGGAGAGGGGGGCCTCGGGATCGGTATCTTTTTGTGAGGACGGAGGGCACGGGGGCCCCGGCGACCGCCACGACCGAGGCTCGTGAGAACGCGGAGCTGAGAACTGCGAGCAAAGCGCAGCCATGCACAGGCGGCGGTGGCGGTGCTGGCGGTGCCGGCTTCATGGGGTCGGGTGCCCGGCGGCTGGCTGTGATGCCGGCTTCTCTGTGTCTCCGTGTCCGCTTTTGTGAGGGATCCTCCTGGCCGGCCTGTCTACAGAGGCGCAGAGCAGCGCAGAGCAGCGAGACGAGAGTGTTTGAAGCATCTCGCGGGGGGCAGGCCAAGAGGTGCAACGAGGCGGATATGATCGAAATGATTTCGATGCACCACGCGGCGATGCCCGCAGATATGACTACGGCCCCCCGGGTCGCTACGATGCGCCGCGGGGCTATGATCCTCGCTACGATGCACCTCGGGGGCCAGATTACGGACCTCGAGGTGGAGGACGGGAGGAGTTCCGCCGGCAACCGAGTCGCAAGCTGTCCCAGCGCACATCCACAGTTTCGGTTTGTGTCTGCAGCACGGTGTGAAGGGTTGGTGACTCAAGAGCCCGGGCATTCGCTTGTCCGAGCCCAGAATGGGAACTCCCTTCGCACGCATGGAAGAATGCAGGAGGTCCAGCGGACGCCGCCATAATGCTTGGCTGTTTGTCTGGGTGGCTTGACCAGAAGTCCGGTATCGTGCCGTGCAACATCTAACAGAGCGGGGCACGATCGATGCACGGAAAGTGTTCGTCGTGGAGAGGGTGATATGCCATCCGACGCCTTCTTGGCAAAGCAATGCAGAGCGTACAGTAGCTTGAAAGGGTCGATCTTTTTCGAGACTCAGGGCAAAACCACGAGTGGCGCGGGGGGGGGGGGGTTGGGACCCTGATGGATTCATGCAAGGCAGCACGCATGTTTCAGACCACACTGCATGTGTGGCATCGATGTATGCTGTCGCTTCTCGCTATGAGACGCGTTGGAGAAGGCCACTTGAACATTTCTTTGTAAGAAAGCGCGAGCGTGCAGGCGTGGCTTTAAGTCCCACAAGTTGCCAAACGGAGTGTGAATCCAGAACAGGTTCCACGGTTCTGGCTGAGAGCAGCAGTAGCAACGCTTTTCTGAAGCTGGAGCCTCAAGGTCACGATCGTGGATATGCGCGAGATGATCGAGGTGGTTATGACCGGGACTTCAGAGGTCCTGACAGAGGTCCTGACAGAGGTCGCGACCGAGGTCCCGATAGGTATGATCGACCCCACGATCGGCCGGAGAGGCATGAGAGGTTCCGAGATCGTGACGACTACGATCGACGGGACAGAATAGATAGAGGATATGATCATCGACCTCCTGAGCGCGACTGGAACGACCGAGATCGGAGCAGCTACGATCGTGGTCCGGAAAGCTTCGACAGAGACCGCTTCGACCGCCACGAGCACTTTGGTCCAGAACGAGGCTTCGCAAGAGAGCGGCCCGAGCGACAAGGAGGCGTGGGAAATTATGATGATGTAGATGTGAGTTTTGTTTGTTGGGTTGTCGTGATTAGAGATGCCGTGAGGTTGCATGTGACAATGTGAGGTCTTCGAGAGGTTGGCCTGCTGTTTTCGCGAGGTTGCATCTTATCTCTTAAGCCTTAAGCAATTTCAGCATCTTTTTAGACACGGGGTTGGGCTGGCGGGAGTTGCTGCCCATCGTACGGAGCACTTGCGCTTGTGTGTGCGTGTGTAGTGCCGTGACAACCCATCCTCGGATTTGGCAACCCTCTCCTGGCTTCAACATCTTGTGTCTTGCCGTGGCGATTCGTGTTCAGAATTGACAACCCTCTGTCCGCGTCCTCCGGTAAGCGCGATCCTTTCCGAAATCCAAATGTTGGGTTCGAAATGACAGCCATCTCGGTGGAGCTGGCGTGTCCGGGCGCTGAGCGTGTGGTGCTACATTGATTTGGCTTCGATAGTTTACATCCCACCAGAACTTGGGGGAGACAACTCGGTCATGTTTGTTTTTTGAATCCCGTACATGGGGGGAAGCGCTTTGGCCGTGCTCCTGAATCGCACCAGTACATGATGGGACAAATTGTGGTCATGTTTTTGAATCCGCCAGTACATCGGGGGAAGCATTTCGGCCGTCCTGAATCCAGCCCATCTTGGGAGAAGGACTTGCGTAATGTCTTTGAATCCCGCCAGCAGATGGGGAGAAGCTTGTGGACGGGTATTCATAGAAGGGTCCATGGAAGGGCTTTATAGAAGGGCTTGTAGAAGAATTTATGACAGGGTACATATACATAATGCATATATATGGAGGGGTTTCTAGAGGGGTTGAGTTTACGATGGATGGATGGATGGATGGGCGGATGGACGGATGGATCGATGGGTGGATACATGCATGGATGGACGGAGGGATGAGATAAGATGAGATGATGTTTGGTGATGGATGGATGCGATGAGATGAGATGATTTTCGGTGTTGCCTCGCTGCGCTAAAAGCTTTTGGGACACTCGTTCTCCAGTCCTCTTCAATGGCTGTGCTTTCTTTGTCCATGCGAGGCTATGATGAGCGGCCGCCAGGTGGCCGAGATGGCGGCAAAGGAGGCCAAGGCCACGTCAGTGGGAGTGCAGACTCAAAGTGGCGAATGCTCACGTGGCAGTCAGTGCTTAGATGCTGACTTTGCCACTGCAGGCGGCGCACCAGGAACCAAGATCTATGTCGGGAACCTGCCCACTGACATCAGTAAGCAGGCTCTAATGTGTGATCTCAGGTCGATGTTTGGGAAGCCTTCTGTAGTTTATCATGTTATGCCTCTGGGCAGTCTGTGCCAATACACACGGGGTGAATGCTACTACATCGATGCAGGCCGAACATGGGACCTCTTACCATGTAACTGTTGTGCGTGTCACGTGCTGTTTTCCAGTACACTTTTCCCAGAGCATCCTACCCGGTCCTGACCTGTTTTGGTGGCCGCATTGCCTGCACATGTTGCTGGCCGCAACGGCAAACACCTGGGGGGGTGGGGGTGTCAACAAGGGAGACACCTGCCGAAGGAACACATGTGTGCCTGGACCCAGGTGTCGGTCATGTGAAGGGTGCAAGAATCGAGCATCAATGTGCAGGCCCTTTCGCAAGTGTTTAGCAGTTATGGGCCTGGCACTCAGTGGATTCCGCATCCAACTCGCAAAAAATCTTCTCGGCACAGCGCTAGTGGCATTCAGGCAGGTGGAGGATGTCCACATCATGACGGGCAGGCGCTCCGAAGAAAGGAGCTGCATATCTGTGCACATGTCAGCCCTGCAGGTCGAAAAGCGGCCAAGCATCAGCTTTCGTGAGGTATTATAATTCCAAGGATGTCCCTGCCTTGTTGGAATCACTCTCACTTCTCTTGTGCTGGTATGATTCTGGCAAGGCCAACGATGCAATTCTTGCAATGGCCCAAGGGCGCGCAGCTGCAAGTTTATTGCTGACCTTTCCTTGTGCCTGCTTGGCTTTGGTTCAAAGATCCCCTAAAGCGGAAAGGTACGAGATCCGTCAGGGTGACGGGCACATAGTTGTCCGCCTGGCAGATGGCGAGGCCTCTTTAGATGCAACATCGAGTGAGTGAATGGACGATATAGAAAGGGCAAAGGGTGGCTGTTGCAGGGCCCGAAGGGGGGAAGAGGCGGCGACAGATCGAGGCCGTACTAGGCCAGCTCTCCGGTGGTAAGCAAATGTTGCAGTCGGTAGACACTTTTTCATCCGTGTTCAGTCATGCTGACATGTCAGAAAAAGCTTCCAAATGCATCTGCCGCACCGGAGGCCTGGCCAGGGTATCTTTCTACCTTGTCTTGACCGTCTCCTGATAGCTGCGGTTGATTTGTCTCACCAGTGAGCGATAGAGTTGGCGCACTGGCCGATCAAGCACATGCTGCTGATCTCCTCATGATGTTGGCTTCCCCTATCAACAGCATGACATGCAATTGATTTTGATATATCGTGCTGTGCCGATTTCATGTGGTGGTTGCCATTGATGCTGTGTCGAAACGCCGCGGCGCCAAAACAGAGCACTGGCTTGTTTGAATTTCGGTCGTGTGGACCTTGTGTCAACGTGCCGCATGAGTTCAAGGGCAGGCAACGGCTATACTTAAGTGTCGGTCTCTGCCTTTCTTGTGTGTCGATGGTCCACCAATGCTCCATGTTAGTAGCTACCCTCATAATGTCAAGCCCGCTGGAACAGAAAGCACCACCGTGTGACCGACCTCGAGCCTTGAAATTCTTGACTGGGACCGCACCATGAGGGGAGGAACAGCGATTGGAATGCTGAGGCCTTTCACCTTCAGAACCATTGAGCTCTGTGACGGTGCCTGGTTCCTGGTTGAAGTCGTCTGCGAGACATGTTATGGTTCGCTCGGGAAGTGACTGGAATCCGCTGGCCTCTGCAAGGTCATCCTGGTCCCGGTCGAAGCCACAAGGATCAGCTCTGTGTAGCTTCTTGCATCGGTAGACGTACAACATTGTATAAGTGTACCATGACACTGTCAGAAAACATGATTCGTTTGTGCTCCTTGGACAAAACTGCTCGCGAGGAACATGAAACACAGAAGGCTAGCCCGAAACGCTCAAGTTTTACTGTAAAGACTGTTGCCTGTGGGAGACATAGTCCGGTTGAACATGCGCAGCCGTCCTCCGCTTGAAAGTGGTCTTCCCACGGTGGTCGCGGCTTTCCAATGCAAGTTGCCCACGTACCAACATCCTCTAGAATCTCGGAACGTAGCTTCTCGGTTTCTGGTGCCTGCTCGTTTGGGGTATCATGTGGACGGAACCGTACCATCATCCGCAGCAGCAGGGCGTCTTCATGACCCGATCCACGCCTGCGGTGTCTGCGAGGTGCGCTTGGGCCCGTGAGACCCCAAAGCAGAACCGAGAAAGAAGGCCGGCTCAGATACTCGAAGCCTGCGAGCCAACGAAGCCCGCGCCGAAAAAACGAAGCGACGAATGGTCATCTGAATCCTCTTGTAAACATTGTGTTCTGATGCTGCACCTTGCTGAACGCCCGCCGAGCTGCAGCATCCTCATGGCGAGTTCATGGTCAGCAGGAGACTGCACACCGCTAGCGCTGAACAGGCGCTGACATGAAAAGTGAAAGCTGTCGAAAAGAAGGAGTCTGAGCAGCTTGCGTATCCGACTTCTTCGTCTTCTGCTCGACCTTCCTCCGGAAGCAAGCGTCAAAGCCCATGGACGGCTCACCTGAAGGGAGGGAGAGTGCAGCAAAAGCGTCTGAAACCGCCAAAACCCCAACACGATACAACAAGGCGACATCCTGAGAAGTCAAAAAAAGCTCGCATGCGAGTCGTGCAGTCAATGTCTGACGCTCACAACCAAGCTGCAGCTAGCCTCTGCGAAAACGTCATCGGATGTTCCGTTCGCATTCCTGAGAAGGTTGCTGATCATCGCACGGAGAGTGTTCAGTCAAATTGCTTCGTCATATACCCATGTGTTCAAGCCAAATCCCAGCCAGTGCAATCGATCCCCTCGAGGCTTCGGAACAAATTTCCTCGCCATGCGAAGTATTCCGGAAGGACCACCGTGGCTGCATCGAGCCAGCAAGGGCTTTGACCCCCTCAGCACGCTCTCGTTTTCTTTCCAGTATACCATCAGTATGCCAATCACGTCCGAACTTCTGAGGAGGCTGACTTTGTTGCTGTATTGCATTCAGACACGATCTTGCATTCCTTCGGTGCAGAGGCACACGGAAGGTAGTGGCAGCACTCCAGCACAAGTTCTCCTCTAGGATGACTGGAAGCCGGTTTTGTTTGGTCGATCTCTGGCGTTGGCGCAGAACAGAGTATCACTTCTTCTACGGCCCTACGGTGGGTTGACGAGGGGCCTTCCCCTCGTTCATACCTGCCCGTCCCTTCGGGCCCCCGTTGCCACCGAGCTCACAGGAAGCGCGCAACAAAAGGCCTCTCTCGGGTGACACCATGTAGACCCGGAGCTGGAATCGCCGCTTCGTGAATATCAGACGTGCAATAAACATTGAAGCGGATGCTGGCCTCTGCTGCATTGCAGCTGCCCAGCAGACTCTGCCGACGCGGCTTTTGCATCTCCTTCGTCGCCAAAGCACTCCTTGTTGTGGCTGACAACGTTCCCAGCATGACATGGGCACCACCAAGGCTAGCTACACTATTGCGGACGTCGCAGCCTACCACAGCTCCTGGCAGATGGCTGGAAGTGGCAAAGGGGCGCTCCTGACAGAGGAGCAGTCAATGCGACTCTTCGCAAGTTGCTGGCTACAGACGCTACTGTAAGTGCAGAGTCTCCCGGGCACAGACGCGACAGGCTGAAGTTGTGGGCAGGGGACCACCGGCAGCTTGAGCGAGGCCTGTCGATGCGCGAGACATGGCGAGACCACGCGGGAGCCCCCGACACGCAAGACGATGCCATACGATGCCCGGCCCTCGTGCGCGGGCACCCTGTGGCATCCCCGACTTTCGAATCCTGCGAGCACCAGTACTTCAGACTTGCCTGCCACAGTACCAGCCGTGTACCAGCCAACAATCGCCACAAATCAGACAGCTCGGTGACTCCTCACTGGACACTACGCCTCTGGAGCCGCAAATTCCTCATGCACCTGTGTGCTAGCAGACTGTCGTTGGAAAAATCTACGGCACGCGTAGCATCACTATGTTTTGTCGGACTTCGTCCCTCAGCTTGGGCTATCTCTAGACAGCATTTGTCGCAGGAGAGCAGCCACAAGTCGGCTACCAGGGAGCTGATGTCGCGGGCTCGTCGCACGATGTCGAGTGTCAATCTGTCAAGACACGCTCCGGCTGGATTGCGGGATTTGCTGGCATGACGCTGAAGGTGATCGCGCCTGGGGCGCTCGGGAGCTTTCACCTGCAGGGTGCGCAAGGGAAGCTGGGCACGATTGCCAAAGTCTGGGTTGTCTTCTTGCCTAAGGTGCATTGGCAATGATGCGCAGTGTCGGCAAAGATCCCAACGAGTCGCGTGCTGAAGTTGAAGGAGTAGTACCTCCTCATGTGTCCGCACCGTCAGATTTTGTTCCACATGTAAGGTTGATAGTTCACCGAGACGCTGATGTGGGTATCTATGGCGTGCGCTTTTTCAAGGCATCTCGAGTGTACTTTAAGTTGACGAAGATGTGACACCCGTCCTCAGGATGGAAGATGGATCTACGAGGTTTTGGATGACCTTCTTCCAGAGTCGGAGCTGGAGCCTTCCGACCACAGGGCATGACAATCGTCACTGCAACGGGCAGCCCAGGCAGCGACAACTCAGCAGCTCCTGCAATGGACAGGCACGGAGGCTGAAGAATAGCTGCAAGACTGCAAGAGCTTTCGGCTGCAGGAATGGCCTGCCTTGATCGAAAAAGCGTGCGGCCTTCTTTCAGCTATCCGTGATGGGAGATATGCCGGTGCAGGGATTGTCGAGTGTCAAGGTACGCCAAGTTGCATGGATGTTACGAAGCTGTTGCCACTGGTGCAGAGGAAGATGCCATGGAGGACTGTGACCGGAGAGTCACTGATCAATTTTCTGCCTGGCTCAGCCTCCACCTCCCAGGACCTCTTGGGAGCTGGCTCTGGGCGCTTTGCTGTCAGCGACTTCCCTGTCTGGGCCAGCCCCTGCTCTGCTGCCTTTTTCTCTCCCAAGCCAAACTGCTTTGCCTGGTGTGGTGTCAGGCAGAATTGTGGCAACATCTCAGGAGCAAGCCGGATCCTTTCGAGGTGTAATCATGTGTAATCTGTGTGAGTCCATGAGCTCCGAGGCGGAAAAGAGGCTTTGCTCTGGCAGCCATCCGGAGGAGTCTTGAACGGCTCCTTACGTCTAACCTGTTCGCGAGACTCTAGAAGCCACAGCATTCTTTGACAGCTGCAAGGAGGGAAGCAGCAGGGGAAGTGCCCTCTCCGCTGACAAGCTCTGCACATCATGTCACCGTGCATGCCAGGTCCTGTTAATCTACGCGCCCGCCTGTTGCCGAACCTTGATGATGTTGTGACACAGCATTCACCAATAACGCCACGTACCCTTAATCATATTGTGCGCGAGTCAGGCATATACCTGCTGCGAGAGTCGAGAGTGTTGGTCAAGCAAAAGCAAGACTGACGAGGCAGATGTAACAATATTTTTGTTTGGGTGCATATGCTCTCGCTGGCGAAGCTGCAATGGCGCTTTCACCGCAAACAGCGCGTAAGCGGACGTGCTGGGGGGCAAAGGCTGCGCGGCCTTTAACCCCCGCCGAGGCGCTTAGACTGAAGGGCTTCGAAGGTGAAGATGATGGCAATGGTCTGCGGAGGCTGCAGCGCACTCCTCGAGTCTTCCACCGATCGAACGACATTCGACACACCAAGCGGAACGAGCTCCGAGCAAACTTGCTCCCATGCATCCTCCAGGTCGACAGGGCCCCCTCAGAGGGAGTTTGTCTGGCATCAGATGCCGTGGAGGAGCATTCTGAGAAGTACAAGCACTACAAAAGAATTCTGAGTGGAAGAAGCGAAAGTGAAAATGAGACTCAAGTTTTCGTGGAGAAGGAGGCTTTCCCGCCAGGTTGGGATCCTTCATGGCAGGCTGTGGAGGCTTGCCAGGGATTGCGAGACCTAGTCCAGGACAGGTCACTGCGATACCGAAGGCCAGTCGAGGAAATGGTGAACGTAAACAGCGACCTTCCTTTCCGACACGAGGCGGGGGTGAAAGGGTGGAGTGCTTGATCGCATGTTACGGGGCTCAACCTGCAGGACGCACCAGTTGATCTGGAAGAGCTCACAAACTCTTTGACGATCGAGTTCCAGAACCTCGAGAATTCCTGGAAGGGCACGAAGCAGGCATTCACGAGTCTTCAAATTGCTTCACGTGTGCCTTTGCTAGTCAAAGACCCTGGTGGCATGGTCTTGGAGACAAAGTCCCTCCCGAATGATGTCCACACTCTCCGCCTGGACCTCAACCCTGGAGAAGTCCGACACATCGCCTGCAACATGAAGAGCCGGCACTTCAAAGGCGCCGAACATAATATGTATCTATCTACGTACATATATATATATATATAAATGTACACATACCCGTATATGTATATGTATAGGTATATGTATATGTATATGTAACTATCTATGTATGTATGTATGTATGTATGTCTGTACGTATGTATGCATGTATGTATGTGCAAGTACATGCACCTGTAGATGTAGATGTAGATTCAATGTAGATGTAGATGTAGATGTAGATGTAGATGTGTATCTATATGTATATGTATATGTATATGTATATGTATATGCATATGGATATGCATATGCATATGCATATGTATATGTATATGTATATGTATATGTATATGTATATGTAAATATGTACATATAACATACATACAGATATACATACATAAATACATACATACATGTATGTCTGTATGTATATGTATATATATGTATATATATATGAAATTATATATATATATACATATATGATATATATATATATCTACATACATGTGTGTATATATCTACATACATGTGTGTATATATGTACACTGTGTGTGTATATGCATGTATGTAAGTAAGTAAGTAAGTAAGTATGTATGTACTTGTATGTATGTATGTATGTATGTATGCATTCATTGCGGGGTCCTCGTGGAGTGTGGCAAGCGACCTGAAGACGCATCCGCATTGTGAAGACGCATTCGTCAAAAAAGGCGCAGACGCATTAGCAGGCGCAAACGCATTCTGAAGACGCGTTGGGTGACAGGAACAATTCGACAATGTGGCGTCACAATTCGGCGTCACCTAAAGCAATGCGGTTTCAGGAGTTCGGATTCGGCATCAGGTCGTTTGCCGCACTCCCCCAGGCGCCCGCCCTCTGTATATGTATGTATATATGTATGTATGTATGTATGTATGTATGGGATGAATGGAACGAATTGAACGACAGAATGACTGAATGCATGAACGAATCAATGAATGAATGATGGAATGGAGTGGAATGGAATGGAATGAATGACAGGACATGAAATGACATGAAATGAAGTTGAACGAATGAAATGAATGAATGGAATGAAATGGAATGAAGTGAGATGAAATGAAATGGCATGAAAGAAAAGGGAGGCAGGATGGATGGAATAGAATGGAATGGAAAAAGATGGAAACGGAAATTCAATTGACATGACATGAAATGAAATAATGAACGAATTAGTGAAGGATGGATGGGATGGGATGGGATTGGAGTGGGGTGGATGGATGGGTGGGTGGGTGGGTGGGTGGATGGATGGATGGATGGATGGATGAATGGATTATTGGATGAATGGCTGAATGGATGAATGAGTGTATACACAGTATCCAATGTTGCGTCCAAGCGCTCAGTGGTTCCGTGTGGCATGGTGCTGTGCCATTGTACCTCTGGTTGGCAGATATTGACATGGCATGGCATGCCAAGTTGCAAGACGAACTCGGCTGTCAAACTGCCTGTCAAATTGCCTGCGTTGTGTGTTCATTGAACGGGCAAAGGCAAACACCCGAGCCATCCATCAGGGCGTTCTATCACGAGACACCGGCTAGTTGCAGCTGTGCCTGGTTTTCCGCATGCGTGCATTGCGCTGGTCGGGACAACACTGCAGGTTTTGAGCTCCATGCTTTCGGATCGAATGGAGTCGCTCGATGCCAGGTGGCCACCGTAGTGCTCATTCTCGAGAACTTCCTGTTCATGGATATGCTCGTCAGAGAGCCGAAGCCTCTCATCGCAGTGCTCTCCGTATAGAAAAATGCGAGCGGAGTGTGCAACGAACCTTTTTCTGCCGAGGTACCAGGCAGATCGGAGGCTTGCGGTGAAGGCGCGCCGACCCCGCCTCGCCCACGCCCGCGCTGTTTCCAGTCTGTTCCGAGCGTTCCGTGGCAGATGCGCGAGCTGGGTTGGCCTCACGGCATGTCAGAAAAGCCCCGAGTCAGTGCGACCTGGCTCAGCATCAGAGGAATTTGCATTAGGGAACAACGTGTCCGCCTCACCTTGCGCAAATTGGGACACTGTGGTTGGACTTGTTGCAGCTTGTATGACATGCTTGTAGCGATTCGGAAGCGCGTCTGCGCAACGTGAGCTTGAGTCGCCGAGGTTTCTTCGGACGTGGCCGAGGCCGAACCTCCACCAGGCAAGAGCGCTCGCAGACCACAACTGACATGTCTTGAGCATGGTGTCATGGTGCCCGGCAGCACTCCGGTGCGCTCCGTGTGAGTCTGGTCTATCGTGCAGTGCATGAAAACATCGCGAACGTCCTGGATTCTGGTTCAGACTCAGACAGGTTGCAACTGAAAGGATCCGGGCCAAGTGAGCCGACAGGATTGCACCCTTTACCGAATCATGTCAGAGCCGATTGCAGCTGTCACGGCCATCCCAGCCTCTACCGTGGCTTTCGTCAGCGCAGAGGAGTCCAGCCAAGCAGCGAGCGCATGCCTCATTCAGCACATTCGCCAGACCCTCCAGAAAGCACAGGAAATCACACAGGTGGTTTCCGAGGCCGAAAGCATTGCCGAGGATGCACAAAAATTCTGCGAAGCCATCCAGGCCCAACATACCGTGCAGTCCAAGAAGCTCGCTCTGACAGGGAAGCCGTCCGCCCCTGTGCCACCCTTGGCCGCAAGCTTGACCCGAGAGATCCAGAGCTCTGTGGTCTGGACGCAGTCCCTCCTTCAGGCCTGCAATGTGGCAGAGAGCGCTGCGCCAGTTGAGAGGGGCTCGCAGCTGCAATTCACCCAGTCTTCCGGTCCGAGTACGTCATGATGTGGAGAACTGAGAGCTGCCGTCGCCGTAGCTGATCATACTTGCCTGAGTGTTTCATGCCACGCTGTAGAGATGACGGACGCAAAATCATTGCATCCGCCAGTGCAAAATGCAAAAAGGATGCGACTGCAAAGGTCGGAGGGCTGAGAGAAACCACCTGTTACAAGCATTTTGGACAAAGACCCGGTGTTTGACTTCCCAGGACAAGGCAGGAAGCCAAGCATTGCGCGACTTTTCTCCTTCAAAGGCCGGTGGCAACTGGTTACGCATCGGTGCGCCCAGGCTTTAGTGGCATGCCCCAATATCCGGTTTACCATGCATGGTATATAGTATATACGGTTGGGTCATCCGCGACGAGCTTGTCAAACTACAGCAGCCAATGGGGAATGTGCTTTCATTCATGGAGGTCAGAAAAGTGGGATTGCCAGTGACGAGGCACAGGACGATCAGACGGAGCAGGCCTGGCTGTTCACACCCACTCGGGAACGGATATAGGCAGAGCAGCGGAGCAGTTAGACTGCTCGTGTCAATCAGAACACCGATAGCATTCCGAATTCCAATTTGACCACGGCTCGAAACGACACCCATCATGCGGCGTAATTACTTCGTTTAGGTCCTCAGCAATGGCGGCCAATAGCGCGGTTTGAAATGGTTGGACCACTAGACCACTAGAGCGTTCTATCTTCGAGGTTGGCCAGGAACAGGACCGCAGGAGAATATAGGTGAGCTAGTGGCTGCACGTAGAAAGCAAAATGCACATCATCCTTTGAAGGTGTCACTTGAATTAGCCTGGTTGGTGGGGACTGGCTGCCCATCTGCTGTGACAGTCAGCCTACACTGGATGCAGGGTCACCGCGTGAACTTCCCAGTCTGCCAAATCGGAGAGCTGCCGTCAGTTCCCAAGGCAGGATCCACCCTTTCGGGTGAACACGCGAGGTTCAGGATGATTCTGACTTGCCAGGAGCAAGACATCAGTGGAATGAACTCAATATGCGCCGGGGCCTTGGTGCGTGGTCCTTTGGCACAAACTGCTGGAAGCATGTGTGCAAGATTGTGCAAGCTTTGGGCAGAATCTTGTAGCAGTAGACGAGAGCATGTCGAACCTTCAGGAGCCACCACCATGAGCATGTCGAACCTTCAGGAGCCACCACCATGTAAGCATAAAGCGTAGGTTTCTCTACATGTTGTCCTGTTCTACCTGAGCTGCTGGCGAAATGACAAGGTTCAGAGTGCACCACGCAGCTTGCAAAGCCAAGCATGAGATGATCTGCTTGCCCTGCCGCTTGCAAAACCTGCAACCTGCAGTGTTGTTAGATTTAAAGGAACATATTTTTCAGCGTTCGTACTTCCGTTGCGTCGGCTTGCGGAGATGGGCCGTTGACGGCCGGACAAAGATCGGCTCCGCTTTGTGAGATGCTGTTTTCCCATCTCACAAGCTCAGCAGCTGAGGCGTGTAGGCAACGGACACAGACAGGCTCGAGGACCAAGGCTAAAGCTGCCTCAACTGCCAAGTCTCACCAGCTACAGTTCGCCACGCTGAAGCAGCGTCGTGTTTTTGCGACCCTTCGGTAGAGCTTCTCACCGAGACTCGTCGTCGAGAGACTTCGACGAGCGTGAGGATGCAGGCATCCGCAGGCTTTCGTTGCACAAGTTGCCTTGAAGCAGCACCGTACGGGCTTTTCATACTTTTTCTTGTTTGAAGGGTTGGGGACTCGCGGTTCAGGTTGTGCATTCATAGCAAAATATAGCAAAGTGCAGCTCCCTTCGCGAGGCCCGCTTGTGCTTCACGTTCTATCCTGTCCGGCGAGCCCGGTCACGCTACGTTCCAGAACCCGGCCGACACCGTGTGGTCTGACTTTCAACGACACGGAGGGAGTGCTTTTGTCCAGTGACGCCTAGCATACAGAGCAGTTTAGGGCTCAGGCTACGGTGGTTTGGTTTTCGGATATTTAGGATTTGGGAGCCGTTAAATGCTTTTATCTATCAGGCTTTCACCCAGCCTCAGGTGGACGTACAATCATCATGAGACGCCCGTGCCATTTCTCTCTTTTACGCTGTGGAGCCTCGCTCCAGTGGTAAACGGCAATGCAGGCTTCTCGAGACCGCCATTTGTGTATGAACGAGCATGTTTCTATCGAACCGCAGATTTTTGGGCTTGAATGCGACCTTGGCCGTTGGTGGCTGCTTCGGGGGCCTCGGGGGGGGTGGTTTCTCTTCTCCTTCAGATCTTCAGGGAGCTGAACTCTGATTCGGGGCTTCTCGTGCCTCCTGATCCCGTTCTCCCCTC